TTTCTTCTGAACTCCATCGCCTCCATCTTCCTGCACTTCCTCCCCTTCATCCATTTGGTCATTTTAAGACCTCCTCTTCCTCCTTTATCGCTTTAGTATTTGTAACCAACATACTTGATATTCATTTTACCAGACTCAGTGTAACCCTCTGAACTCTCCAAGCAGTTTAAGGGCATCATTTGCTCCTGTTGCACTTTTATTCACTGTGGACTCATTTTTTACTACAACATAAAGTCCTGTACCTCCATGAAAACAGCACAACCATCGCTAGAAGTAGAGAGAACTTGGAAATGTCTTTTGTGCAGTATAACCACGTTGAAAGGCCAGAAATTCTAAAAAAAAAAAAAAAACCTGGATTCTACATCCTACATGACATTTCTTCAAATGTCCACGTGTGACCAAAGAGGAAAGTGGGGACTCTACGCACAACAGATATTTTACTTTTCGCATTTTTGCAACCTATACGAGCATTTTTCACACTCCTTTACACATCAATTCTAGTAAGATGTGTCACAGTGCTAAACGTATCCAAACCTATAATAGAGGTGCAGGACTTTATATTGCAGTGAAAAATGAGGCCACAGTGATGTAACATGCCACAGGTGCAAAAAACATCCAGAGTTCAGAAGCTCTAGAGTAATGTTTATTCAGTATTTTTATGTTGAGCATAACTGTGCAGTCGTAAAAGTGATCATTTAGATTTGAACTTTTCCTCTGAAGTGATACAACAAGTAGAGTGTAAAGGTGACAATATGTAAAAATGTCCTCATAACTTCTTTTTACAACTTCTGAATGATGTTGGGGATAAATCAGAGCTCCAGATTATCAGGCAGCTAAAATCTGATTCCAAGTTTTCACTGTTAGCGTTTGTAAATTCTCACTCGGAAGGCGAATCTCCCATCATAACGGATGTCAGATATTTTTTCCAAGGAAAAGTTTTGATGCCGATATGAATTTGAGCAAATTAAATGCCAAAATGATATGATCGGACCATTTTTTTGTGATGTGACAGTTCAGAGAGTTGACGTTTGACTCGGTGATCTGCAGTGTGATTTTTTTTTTCCCCTCCCTCTGGTCCTGCAGCTCCTCGTTACGGAGTGAGGAATATGAGGGTCGATGAGGAAACCACCTTCAGCCTGCGGGTGTCCTGGCAGGCTGTCGACTACAGAAACGTCCGAAATTATCGACTGAGCTACATCAGCGTGAAGGGAGACCGGGCAGAGGAGACGGTAAGACGCTGGGAGAGTGTTTGCTTTATTTTCCACAGGAACTTCTGAGTGACGTCCATTGAGTTTCCTTTCGTATTTTCTCTTTGGATTCTCTCAAACTAACCGGAACATATAGTGGATCACTTCAAGCCACCAGGCCTTTGGTTTTATAACTTTATCTTGGTGGATTGCCATTTTCAAAATCAGTGCTGACAGTTGAGTGACACGTGCAGCTGACTGTAATTGCATCAACTTAATTCTATCTAAGTGGTAATAATTGCACATACAAAAAAAAATCACGCTTGGGGCTATCAAATGGTTGAGAAACGTCTGAAAAGTTTATGAAGCCTTCACTGATGGCAGCATTCACTCGGGTAACCCAAAACCCAGCACAAAAAACGAGTCGAAGGCGCATCGGAACATCCAGAGAGGTTTCTCGAACCCCTATTGGTTTATATCCACTTTTAACCAGCACTGTATGGAGGGTTGTAATCTCCTGGTGGACTAGTCGATTGGTTAATCCGATACACTGCCATATTGGTGGCTTGTGGGGAGTTTGTTTCTCTTTGTGGTGGTTTTGTGTCTCATTGGGGTTTCTTTGTGTCTCTGTGGTTCTTTTGAGTCACTTTTGGGAGGCTTTGTATCTCTTTGGAGTCAATCTGTATCACTTTCTGGATTTTTTTTTGTCTCTTAGGGGTTAGTGTGTGTCTCTTTGTGGTCATTTTGTGTCTCTGTGGCTATTTAGTGTCTCTTTGTGGTTGTTTGTGTCTCTTGGGGTCTATTTGTATCTATTTGGGGTTATTTTATGTCTCTTTGTGGTTGTTTTGTGTCTCTTTTTGGTGCTTTTGTCTCTGTTGTCATTTTGCATCTCTTTGTGATGGTCTTAAATCTTTTAGGTCATTTTGTGTCTATTTATGGTGGGGGTTTTTTGTCTCTGTGATGGTTTTTTGTTTCTTTCTAGTCAATTTGGTTGTATTTGTGGGAATTTTGTATCTGTAGCCATTTTGTGTCTCTTTGTGGAGGTTTTGTGTCTTTTGGGGTCTACTCTGGGTTATATTGTGTCTCTTTGGGGTCTATTTATGTTTCTTTGTGGTAATTTAGTGTCTGTTTTGTGTCTCTCTGTGGTAGTTTTGTATCTCCTTCTGCACTAGAGAAGACTGGTTTCCAGCTCTATGCATCCTCTACAGCTGGAATAAACTGCAGCTGGAAACACTGCTTCCACTAAGGACCTGCAAGGAAAGGCTCTATCATGAGCAATATCGAAAAAAACATCCATAGGATTATAGAGTGATATAAAAGAAGATATTTAGTTCCTTATTTCACAATATGATGCAAGTTTAAACGACCACACACATCTCAAGTTACATTTTGGCACTTCGGGCCATGAAATCAACGTTCATTTGACATTTTAATGTATTCCTGCCAAGCATGCTCACACACAGTTATCTGCACACACAAACACGCATGAGGCAAATCTCCAGCAGACAATGAGCGCAAGCATTTGCATCGGTGTTTGTTTTCTGTAAAAGTCTTTTTCTCTTTCTGCCGGTGTGCTGTGGCTCATTAGTGTGAAAACCTGCCATTCTCTCTCTCATGAAACCAACCTTTTGAAGATCTGCCACCGTTTTCATCATCATTATCTTCCCCTCCTCTCTTCTCCTGACGAGACTCAGAAATCCTGCCATCAACTTCAGCAAACTCTGCCTTTGTCTGCGCTCCCGCCTTCTCTCCAAGGAGGAGTTTTAATCTGAAGGCCTGCCATCATCTTCATCAATAATCTCCCTTCCCTCTGTTGACGCTCTCTTCGCTCCTTCCATCGCTTCCCAAATGCTAAGTCGTTACCCAACTGCCCAACTGAGTCAGACTCAAAACTTTCTACTGACTACAGCTTGTGCAACTTCTATGCAACCTGCACTACGTCTAAACTGTTAGTTATCAAAACCGGTCCTGCAGCATGAGAACATGGGAACTACAAAGGCAGCAGCAGAACAAGATGCTTCCTGGTGAGCTCTGGAGATTGGCTCTTTTGGTTCGAGAAATCAAAAATCAAAAACAGCAGGTGTCCATATATGATTTGAAAGCTGACGTCTGCTTATAGTTTTATGTGTCTGCTGTTGATGCTTCCTGGCGGTGTTTGTGTGTTTTCACTTCAGTCTCCCTTTCGGTGGAGCTTCAGTATGGCAGGAGTAGGATTAGTGAAAAAGGCCTCGGTCAACTGAAATCAAGCCCATTTCATAAAAAAATCAGCAAGTTGCCTGTAGATTAACTAAGTGTTCCACAGATTGCACTCTACCTGAAAGCCATATTAACAGAAGTTCATTCTAAATCAACATAAAAAGTTAGTTTTAGAAGCATGTTAACTAATTTCATTCATAGAACCAGACCACTTGCCCGCATTCATATGATTTCTGAGCTATTTCTATTCTTTCTGAGACTGTATCAACTACCAATCCCAAGTAACGCAAACAATGCAAGTTAGCCTCCAGTTGGATGTCGACCTTTTGACTTTTGTCCATCTGTTGGAACAAAATGCAGCCACGTCTGTTTTTTTGTTGTGTGTGTGGTTTTTTTGTTTCTGTTTGTTGGCTTTTTTTGTCTTTTTGGCTTTCTTTTTTATTTTTTCTTTTTTTTGTCTTTTTTTCTGTGTGTTGTGTTTTTTTGTTTTTTGTTGGCCTTTTTTGTTGTTTTTGGTTGTTTTTGCTTTTCTTTTTGGTTGTTTTACATTTGTTTGTGTTCATTTTGTGTCTCTTTTTTAGCCAGCTTTTATGTTTTTCCGGGCTTTTTGTATCTCATTGTCTCTATTTGTGGTTGTTTTGCATCTCTTTGCAGCCATGTTGCGTCTAGTCATGATCCTTTTCTGTGTCTCAGGGGTGGTTTTATCTCCAGTTTGCATCGAACTAGCATCTATTTGTCTTCGTTTTGCATCTCTTCTTATTTTATTCTGTCTGCCGGTGGTCAATGGGTTTCTCTCTTTGGTCAAGTTATGCATCTTTGTAGTTTTTGGCTCTTGTGATCTCGTGAGTTTGTTGTTGTTTTATTGGTCTTACATGGTGTCAGTTTCTTTAAAGCAGACTCAAAATAAGTCAAAAATCATGGATTAATCCCAGAAGGCTGTTGATGCAGGGCTTTTCTTGTTATTGGTAACACTAGACATCGACCTAGACACTACAGTCCTACAAAAACTTCTGTCATGCCAGAAATCCATCTGATTGCTGATCGTTCAGGCAATTAATCCTTAAATCCTCTTTCCACTGCACATCAACCTGATCGGCCCAATTTTAAGTCAGTTGCGGGAGACGAGTTCGGGGCTAAAAATCAAGCCTTAAATCTCTACAGTGTCAGTCCGTCTTTGGATTCGAGGTCAAATCACAGTCCAGACACTACAACAAGTGTTTTAACTGCAGTTCAGGGTAGTAAAGATTTTTGGCAAGTCTCTTCTCATTTTTAGAATGCTTATCTTGACCAAACTGAGTTGGTCTTGTAAAAATGAGGTCACTAATTTATTTTCATTCAAATCCAGCTGTTTCACACACACTCCAGAATTGAAATAAAATAAAAAATACACACATCTGTAAATTGTGTCTTCATTGGGAGAGGGTATTATCTGATATTCAATGTTTTAAACTATTCTTTTCATGTGTTCTTACACTGAAATAAAACTCTTTTTATATGACTTTAATCCTCTGAAGCCTAAACCCCACTGATAGGTTTAAAAGACATCTTATCTTTACAAAAAAAATAAAAAATCATACTATTTATCAGCACCGGAAACTGTGAAAAGAAAGAGAATTGTCAGACTTTCACCTTTTCGATGGTCCAAGAACTACTCATCTGTGACGTGAAGTTCCATCAGGAAACTTATCTATGTCCAAGTTTACAATCACATTATTTAATCTAAGTTAGTTTATTCCACAACATTTTTTTTTTAAAATTGCCAAAAATAAACTTTATGCCCTGACCAGATCCTGTAAAATACAAAAAATGTTGTGCTCTGTTGGGCAAGCGGGAAGTCACTCTTGATTCAGCTGTAATGAACAGCCATGTGGCCAAAATGGAGGGACTGTTATGTTGAGCTGGGCTGAACTTCAGGCAGTGTTTACACGAAACAGAGTGGAAACACATTTAAAGTATAAGTAGTAATACATTTAAGATATCTAGAGTCATCCCCTATGTTATTGATCTTGATTCCACATTTTTCCAATTTTTAATCATTAAGGTAATTCAATTTTCTTTTGTTTCTAGTTTTTGTAATTACAGCTTTGCCAGACTGCNTTTTTACAGACTTTGGTTGGTGCGAAAGATTGTTTTTGGTAATTTTGAGGAAGATATGAAATAGAGTGATTTTGAAGCAATAATCCACATTTTAAGCTGAGATTCAGTGAAGGTTCCTGTCAAGACGTCTCATCACCGATGATTAGTTCAGGTTCAAAGCTGAAAATGTGTTTCTTTGTTCCTTTTTTTAAGTTTCTGGCTCGGACAAATGCTGTAATTATAATGATTTTTGTAAGAAGATAATGTGCTTTTTAAAGGGTTTTGGTGTTCACTGAGTTTCTCACTCAGTGAGCTGCTTCATTTTCATTCATATCTCTGCCTTCAGAAGCCCCTCAGCCCTCATCTCATCCAGTCATTCAGCTGTTGTTTCTTCCATTGTCAGGACAAAATGTGCTTTAATGAGCACTGCAGTGAAAAGACACTATAGTGGATGCAAATGGGAAAAAATCAGCATGATAGAGATTAAAGATGAAAGCCCTTTTACCAAAATCGACCCAATACAAGGAATGAATACGAGATCATCAGAGCAGACGATATGCAGCACAAACACAGACGGTTAGAGTTTCTGTTCTCTAGTTTTCAGTGTTTTAAAAACAAATTGTTTTCACATTTAATACAATTTTCATGTCAGTTGACACGTATTTGCCAACTTTTATACATACGTGTCAGAAAGAACAGAAATGGTTTTTTTTCACTTTTTCGCATGCTTGACTGAACATTCAATCCTTTTTGATATTTTACATTTACTT